TCTCGCATTGCACCTTGTGTCCTTGCAGATAGTGCCAGTTAGTTCAGTGTAGTCTACTACTTTTGTGACTATTTCATCATTCAAAACTCTGTTCTTATTTTTAATCATTGATAAACAACCAGGCAGTACACATGGGTAAAAAAATTTAAAAAACCAAAAGGCTAAAAAGTACCAGGCTGAAGGAAGGTTGTTAGTCTGATCCTTGAAGAATGCTTGTAGGCTACACCTAATGTAAGATTTTTATTAGCTGTGTTGGAGAAAAAGAAAAAGCTGGTATTTGTTAACAATCCTAAACCAAGAGATACTGTCCCATGTCAATACACAAGGCACAACAGAGTAACATAGTAAAAAGATTGGAGTAAGAGAGACATGATGATATTTAAAATAACAAGGACAAGAATGTGCAAATAAAGTTCAGTAAAAAGGTGACAGAATTCCTATAAGCTGTGGAAAAAACATTTGTTGACAATGAGAGAGGAGCAATAGCACATGCATTATTACTGAGATCACAAATCAAAACCAGAGTGCCACAAAGAAAAAAAGGTAAGGGAAATCCTACAGTTTCTCTCTCCCAAATAAAACACTTTCAGCTGTGAAAAGAGAGAAATAATGCCACTGCACAAGGCACTAGAAGATTTCCCACTGAAAAAAAGAGAGTGCCAATTTGAACAGGAATCAGCACACAAAATAATTATTAGGCTAAAACAGGAACAGAGGAGTTTCACGCAAGAGAAGAGTTTGACTGAAGCAGCTTAGTAATACAAAAGAACTGTAAAATGAATCGACTGTATCCTACAAATACATGAAAGGTAAGCACAAGAGAGGAGGACTTTTCTTACCCCAAAAAGTCAGCATTGGCACAAGAATAAAAGGATATAAAATTGGCCATGAACAGGTTAGTGCAGAAATCATAAGACCTCTCTTAACCATTGGAGAAGTCATTCTACAACCAGTTTTCAGTAAGCATAAATAACTCCAGTATAATAGTCTAGTAGACTAATTAGAGCATAGCTTGATAAACACTGCCGTTTTCAGACTGAGAACCACTGAAGTGGAGGAAAAAAATTTTTTTTCTGCTATATATAAGCATAACTGTCATGCTGAAGTGAGTTCAAATTGTCAAGTTTTTCTTCTCTTAAACTCACCATTTAGTCACAGATATGTAAAACATGACAAATATGCTCCTTAAATTACATACCAAAGTACCACAGTTAAAAGTTCCCACCTACCTGATGCTTTCTAAAGCAACCTCCCCAATATTTCCTCAACAGAACAAAAAAAATTTCTCAACAAGAACCAGAGCTATGAACAGAACAGAAACACTGGAGCTATGCTGAATAGAAATTGCAGACACATCCACTCTGAGCTTGAACTGAATCCATACTGTTTCTCATGGGCAATACTGTTTGCTCCAGCCATCTGTTTTGAATGAACCTGGGAATAAAAGATCTCGGTAACACCCAAAACTTCAGTTAAACAAGTAATTCTCTTCCCCCTTGCTGCGTTTAAGTGAGATATGCTCCTAATCCCTCCGAATCCCTGGTTGAGCAGCTGACAGACACAACAGGCAGTAGGCTACGGGCTTGCCTTCAGCAGAAGCAGGTATCTTTCTGGCCTCACCCAGCTGTACCCAGCAGTGCTACGTTCAGCCAGATGAACGGCATGCACCTAACTCCATGTACCGACAAACCAAATAGTAATTTTTGCTGGCTCTCTCTTACACCCAAATGGAGTTAGCACAGCTGGAACAGAACAATTCAGCCAGAAAACTTCTACTGATGGGGTCCCATTCCCAAGCTGTCCCCTCCTGTTAGTGGGTGGAGCAGTCACACCTTCATCATGTCCTATGGTACATACCTCCCCCCCAGACCTAAAAAACAGTACAAGTAGGGAGTTGAACCATAGCTTAGGGAGCCCTTCTCTGTCACTCCCCCAGAAAGCTGCCACTAATGCTCCCATCTGTCACATTCTACATCTTTCAATCAATGACATTGATCTGTGGCTGGCTTGGTTCATCTGCTGACCAGAAAAACGCTGTCAGCATCAAGGTACTGGAGCAGCTGTTTAATGTAATTAAGTGTGTGTGGGCAGGGGGAAGGAGCATTCACAGGGACACTGCAGAGGGCAGAGAAGGGATTTCTAAATTGTCCTAAATCACCACCAATTCAACTGGCAGCGACAGGATACACTCAAAAATGAGAACATGACCTGGAGGCCCGTCTGTTGCAATGAAAGGGGAAAACATGTAGATTGTAATGCAAACAGATCAAGGAAAGAGCATCAGCAACAAAACTAAAAAAAATGTTGGCTGATCAAACTGTTGGCATCCAACAAAAAATGATTGCTACTTTTCCCTCTGAAGATCTGGAGGATATACAAGGTCTCTCTGCTTCCCCAACAAATAATTATAGGGCTTTAAACTGAAATGAGCTGTACCTTGCGCTGTTAACAGAAAGGCAGTACTTACTTACCGGAGTAAGTTTCTTTATGGATACAGTCTACTTGTCTGATTCTCTCTCTCACATATACACACACAATATTTCACTAAAATTATACCAATTATTTTATCCCTCATGCTTTGAATTTTATAAATATACAATTCAAGCATGATATAGGAGAGTAGTAGGAATAAAAGGGGGAAAAAAATTGGGGAAAAAAAATAAATGGCATCAGCAACAAGTTTTGTGATAATAAAGCCTTGTATTACGCCAAAAAAAAATAAATTACTACATAAAAGATTCATACTACCTAACTTGGGCTCTTGTTGAGGCACCCAAGCTAGAAGGGACACCTTAAGCTCTCTTAAAACCTACTGTGGAGGGGAAAAGGTCACACTCAGATCACCAATTCTGATCAGATATCCCCTTCCCCACTGACTATCAAAGAAACATAAGCACGTATATTTCTAACTTCAGCACCTCAGATGGATACCTGTATTGGATGTACTGAACCCAGGCCAAAGTCTGTAACAAGACTCTTGTTACGGTGTGGTAAAAATATATCTATAAATATAACTTAAGTAAATGTACATCTTTATACACAGTAATTGCCTTTCATGTTATGAGGTTTTTTTTTTCCTCATCACCAATGCTACTGGCTTAAGATAAATTCAACAACTAAGAGAGAAAAATAAGAGCAACTTCAGTCATTTAGGTGTCAGCAAAGTGTAGAAGAAGATAAACAAGAAGAACTAAAGGTTTCATGACAAACTAGAGTAAGTTCCCTACCAAAAACAATGAATAAAAAATTCTCAGTCTACTCCCTTGCCCCAAATAAAAACATGTAAGACTATCAAAAAGATAACAGCAAAAGTTGCCACACCTCACTTTGCAATGAAACTTGCCTTTTACTGAGGCCTTATTCCTCACAGTGATGTCAGCAGAAAGACATCCACCCACGTCAGCCAGTGGCAGGTCACGTGGCAGACAGCAGCCCTCAAGTCTCCTACCTGTTTGCACAGCTTATAGCTCTCAAGGCTGAACAAAAGCAACAGACAGTTGATTTCTTTTGACTATTTTTATAGCTTGAAAGTAAACTTCAAGGCTGCAAAACCTCAAATATTTGCAGATTGATTCAACAAGTCATAGCGCTCCCTGCCTGTCTCTTCTCTTTCAATCTGCGAACGAAGTCCAACCACCGCCCATATGCAAGGAAAACCTGAGTTCCTACACAGCGTATTCAGCATAAAAGATAATTTCTCACAGTCGTTCAAAAGCATTAAAAGACTCCCTCAGCCTTTTTCCTTCTTTCTCAAAGTCTTTCAATAAGGAATCAGAAATTATATACTTTCCTGTTCTTGTTTAAGATTAAACAAACAAAAACCAAAACAGAAATAAAAGTATCAACTTTGATGTCCTCGACCAGCACTTAGTTGATGCTGTAATATTGAATTCAGTCTCCAACCATTTGGGATAAAGATCTGTTCAAAAGCAAAACTGGGCCAATAGGGAATTTCAAAGCCTCCTTATAGTAAAATTAGTCTTCCATTTTAAGTATGGCTTTACATTAAGGGTGTAGCTGTAGTCAGTCCTGTGCAATGCTGATGGGAATTCACAATAAAACAATTCTTCCTCTACAATTAAATCCCAAGAAAGAACATTCCCAGATGTATTTCGTAGGAGTATAAAACATAGCTGTGCCTGATGTCTGCTTTTGGTTTTAAACTACTTCACACACGCAGTGAGATTCAGCTTATACACGGGGCAAAATTCATTGTGGAAACACCTCCTGCAAACCCAGAGATCCCGGCAAGGGAACCTAGAGCGCTACTGAACTGACCAGATGTAGATATTGTCTGTAGCTTAGGGTGCGCTGAATTTCCCTCTAGACTTTTTTGACCAGCCTGGCTAGATCACCATTGATTATAACAGAGCTTTGACAAGAACCTCCCATACAGACACAGACAGGGATTTTGGCATTTGTTTGCTTTGTTGCAAAATCACAATGCGTAAAGTGCCCAAGATATCCCTGCTCAGAAGCAGGGGACAGCAGAAACTACTGTGCCTACTTGCCAAATACCCCTGAAGAAAGCTCATGCTGCCTCTTGCCAAGGCACTGGGAATTCCTACTTTAAGCTTAGTGCTCAAACTGTGCACATCTCCCGCCTTCGCTCTGCTCTGTGATCACTGCTTCATCTGTGTCTCATATCATATTCCTGCAACCATAACTGCCAAATCCCAGACACCTTTGCCAAGTCCTGTTCCCCAGCATCATACTGATATAGGAAGACATCTACCTAACAGGTGTAAGTAGGGAGTGAGAAGTAAGACTGCAAATTAACATACACATAAACCACTGCATCAAGACTAAAATCTGACCATAAAACAGACAAGTTTTGCCTGCGTGCTGTGTCTTTGCCCTGTGTTTCCAGGACCCTAGAAAATCTTCAGTCCATGCAAGTCCATTTTAACATCTAAAACCTCTAAAAATGGAGAACAATGCAAAGATAAAATAAAAGCCAAGCTCCAATATACGAATACAACTATATGTTTTTAGCATACCAGGCAATATTCTTCCAATAAGAGCATCTAGTAACCAAAAGGACTCCTCTTCATTCTTTGTAATAAGAATCAGGTATCCAGCTATGAAGTTCATACCCTGAAATAGAAAGAAGGGTTTTAAGAGGCATACACTTATCTTACAAGTTTCTAGTTTATTTCTTTCTATTAAGGGCTAAATTACTACAGTTCTATAAAGTGGACATATTAAGTAAAATCTAGTAATAAAGGCCACCAGTTGAGTAAGCTGTTGAACCTGCATGACAACAGCTAACAAGAATTATTAACAAAGATCAAGGAGAGGAAAATTAAAAGAAAAAGGTTAGTAGTCTATAATTTACCTTCAATTTTCCTTTTTTTTTTTTTTTTTTTTTAAAAATCCCAAAGCCCTCTCCCAATGTAACTGAAGACTGCTTTGACCAGAACACAGCTGGCTTAGATGTGCAGTACGAACACAACACACCTGCAGGTAGACAGTGCGGCTGCAGAAGGAGAATGCCTGACCCAAACCCTCTTTAGTAAAACAGTTGCAGCTCCAGCAGCTTTTACAAGCTGCTGCTGCTTAACTCATCAAATGACTGCATACAAATCATTTGCTTCCATAATACCTCTAGTACTCCACATGCTAGGCAATGACTGGCCGCTATAGCTCCTGCCTTTCAACATGCAAACAGAAGGTAAACACCGGGAGGTGGGGGCATTGCAAGAGCTACCAGAAAATTTGTGAAAAGTAGTCAAGTCATGACTGGCCAAATTCCAACTGTGCAATTTTCATAACCGTTGCTGACACTCTCAGACTGGAGAAGTGACATACAGAACACACGAGTCACAAATTGGTATTCCCTGTAAACACATTGCCTCTGTCTCAGGCACTTTTTTCTTGTATCCACCATAACACTGCTAAGTTATGGCAATATTACTGATTTACATGCACAGTAGTCCACTTTCTTAAGCATTTTTTAAGTAAGTCTTTTCCATCACAAACAAGCTGACAACTGTAATAACATAGACAGCACATCAGTACGACAATATACAAAAGCTGCCTCTGAGGTGGCCGCCCCCCCCCCCCCCCCCAAGTCTTCCTAAGCTAACAGAAAATTATCTTTAAATATTTACAGGCTATGAAGGCTGGTGTTGATTACATTGCCTTCTTTGGTTTCATCCCTTTCTTTGGCCTTCTTCCTGTCCTCTCTCCCTCCAAGCTGGACTTTTCCAGCATGTCTATCATCGCAGGCAGCACCACTGTCTCTGGGTATCCTGCAGTGCTGCTAATTATGGCTGTGAGCCAGACGACAGCTACCAAAAAGAATGCCCCTCACAGCTTCTGGAAGCTACAACTTCCTCTCTGAACTGAGATCTCATTTCTTGCATTCAACAGAATTGACTCACCTGTCCTGCCTCAGAAGGCCGTGCAACACTCCCAGAACATGGAAGTATTAGGACAGTGCATCTTCTCCCATGTTTCATTGTCAAGCTTTGAGTCACTACAGCAGTTGTTACACAAATGGCTTGGATAGACCTTGCACGGCCTTACACAGTGCTTGACCTTCTAGTTAGGAAGGCAACTATTTGCTTCCATGCTGACAGTTAGCTTAGTAATTGCATCTATGGTGACAAGAGACTGTTTGGCTTTTAACATGGCATGCACAGAAAACTACTCTGGAGTGTATGTTCACAGGACACTGAATTTTGCTGGTTATACCAGGGTAGGCAACACCGTACCATTGTCACAGCATGACAATGCAAAGCCTAATACACTCCCAGATGGGAGACTTAAATGCCAGTAAGTACCACAAATGCACTAGCATTATGAAAATGTCCCCTGAAGAGCCTTCAGTCAGTAAAAGCTCTGCAAAACACTTGAAAAAAAAAAATTCCATTTTTCCACTCTGAGTTTTCTAGTGTTTACAGGGTCTCTCTTATCATGCAGTGGGTACCACTATATCTATCTTGATAAAGTCTGCTGCTTCACTAGCAGAAAAGATGATTTCCTGAAACTTTGCTTTATTTACAACATGCCTTGGAAAGCTGATGTCGACCTTTGGTTTATGTTCTAATTATTTAGCCAGAAAAGATAACATTCATCCTGTGAGGAGACCAGAGGTGGAAAGAAATCACATAAGGCTTTTTAAGTCATCTTCTTTCATCTCCAGTGTTCATAATGCCAAGTTAAAATGCGAAGATTAAACAGTTAATGTACCAAAACTTTTTAGTAACAGTTGGACATATATTTGGGGTAGAAGCTAGCATGGTTTACAAGCTGTGTGTATTTGTGTGTATAACTACCTCTATATAGGAGCAAAAGAGAGTATTCATAATTCTACCCCGTCTGTTATTCTCAAAATATTAAAATTGTATTTTAATAAATACATAATACGGAAAACAATAAAAACCATTCCTCTTTTACTCCCATTCTTCAAATAATTTATGTATTAAAACTGGTTGGGATACACAAAGAGAATTTTTTTTAGTGACTTCAGTCTAGGTTTAAGTCTCTCCAAGTCTTCTCCTCACCAGATTTCAATAAATACAATTCCTATTCTTTTAACTTTGGAACAGTTGTTTTTACTGTACTAACTTTCTCAACTAACATGAGGTATAGGTTAGCATACATCTCCTTGGTGAGGAAGGGGAGGAGAGAGGAGAGGACTTAAGTGAACTGAAAACACATTTTGCTCATGACAGTTCCTGCTTCTTTCCGATCCTTAAAGATGGCCGCTTTTTTCTTGACTCTCATGAATCAACTTTTATCTTCTTTGTGTCCCACAGGAAACTTTACAGTACTTGGCAGTGGCGACAGGAGCTGCCTTCTAAGCAATATCAGGTTGAATTTCAAACAAGTTTTCTTCTTATTTGCCTGTCTATATTGGGAGATGGCACCAAATAAATGCTACCTCCCCCCCAACTACGTTATGTCGCATGAATGCTGGTCTTCCTGTATTTTGAAAAACGTGACAGTGAAAACAAAGGAAATTGAGATCTCATGATGCCTTGTACATACCAAGGACTGTTTTGGGAAAGATGGCAGGAGGGAGGAAGAAGGAAAGGCAAGCTCGCTTTCTCTTCCTCTCTGAAGCAACTAATCTTGATACAACCATGTGTGATAAGACATTTATTTTGCAACTAACAAATTGAACCAAACATGATCAAGCTAGCTACAAAAAAGGCCACAGAGAAACTCACAAGGACATTTGAACTCGCCTGAAGAGATTCATTTCCCCCCCCGCGGGCCATTTTAAAAACAGAAATAGTTTGTGGATCTGCTTCTAAAAACACACATTCAAATGGGCAAGAACAATTACCATTGGTGAAATGCAGCATTGTTAAAAAAAAAAACACACACAGTGATTACATACCTGACAATATCCTACTGCTTTATTATGATGCCCATATGCTACCAATACGTTGTAGAGTGTATGCTGCAAACAGGGATCAGCAGTTTTGCGGAATTTTACATTATCTGGAAATGTTCTGTTCATGTCTAGACAAAAGGAAGAAAGACCAAAATTAACAGCCATTCCCTCCTTCACATTCCAAACAAACTTTTACAGCTCTTCTGAAGTACAACTGAAACTTCACTATGGTTCACTAAACTGTAGTTTTGGTGGATGAATTTTAAGAAACAGCTTTACCTCCATTTTGGCTAAAAGACCATCTGCATTCAAGGATAATCTATTCCTAGAAAGGTTAATCCTATTAGCGTACATAAATCAATTTCAAGCAGGACTAAAGAAATTCTCCAGCAGACTGGACTCTCTCAATGTCTGACTCCAAAGGCTTAAATGAAAGTGAACCAGACATTTAGACTGACAGAAACAACACATAACAAATTTAGCCAAGTGGCATGAAATGAGCTGCGCCTCTAGGAAAGCATATTCTCATAACAAATCAGATGAACTTCCAATTGACTTATTCAGTGAACTTCTACCGAACAGTCCCAAAAGGCTAAGAAAAAAAAAAGTCCTGTTTCTGCAGCTGGTGACTTCCACTTAAAACCACCTTTTTAAAGTTTTTTTAAGTTTCTCCGTGATGTGACCGTGAGAAAAGTTGCTTCTTCATTGGTGCAAGATCACCGAGAAGGAGAGTCATTTTTGATATCCAAGCAGCAGAGCACATCCCACATGCTTCAAGCTCAATCCTAAACCAAGTAAGGACTATGCAATTACTGACACTTCAAAACATTCATTTCTTCCAGACCAAACATGAATAGTACGACTCATCTCTCCTTACAAAGGTCTAAAATTTAGACACACAAGTTTGAGCTAGTCACCCAAAACTCCTTTTAGTTGTTGGAAAGCAACAGGCAGAGTTAATTTTTGGCCTGCTTCACTCTTTATAGAGGAAACCCAAGGTCACTAATCCAGACTTGTGCATTTGATTTTTAGACATTTAAGTTGGGGAGAAAAATCCTATTCAAAAGTAACTTTGAAGATTTTTCAAAACACAAGACTTAGTAATAAAATATGAATAGTTGTTTTGGTTATATTTAACAACAACAAAAAATTGGGTTAAAGTTATAAAATAAAAATAAAAATTCAGTAACAGCACTACTGTACAGATATCTATGTCCTAAGAGTTATCACTTCTTATCAGCCTTTTCCTGCATAAAGGAAGAAGTCTGTTACAGCTTTGACACAAAGTTGAGCTGTAAGCAACCAAAGGAAGAAAGCTCCCCAAAATCACGAGTAGTGCAATGGAAGTCACGAGCATTAAAAAGTTATCGCACTAATCACTATTTCTTCCTTTTGAACAAATCGTTTACAGAAATGGGAAGGCGGAGAAATATTTCACTTCACCTCCCATATGACTGAAAAGAAAAAGAAACAAGGAAAAAGACAATTTTTAAAAGGACTTGAGCAACAGCCAGTCATAGAATAAACAAACTTGTTTTGTTTCTTCTTGGTAGGAAGAGCAGCATAGTATTTGCATAATCGAAATTTTTTGTTTATTAAAGTATATGCTGGATGTTACAGAAAAGATTAATGCTGACATTTCAGTTATGGCTCTTCCCCTCAGCTCTGCAGAACAAGGGTGAGGGGGGAGTACGAAAAGTCCATTGCATACAGAGCAGAGACTACTCAAACTGAACTCACCTTTAATTTCACAACCTGAGGAAGGCCTGCAGTTGAGAGAATCAGCTCCACTTTGCTTTCTGATTGCAGAGCATGTTTTCCCCGCAAGGACTGGGGGAAGTCTTCCCTAATTTTATGAAGGATTTAAAACTTTTCTTTATATTTACTAACAGCATTTTAGCTTGGGGAGAGGGGACTGGGACAAAAACAAGATACAAGAGCTAGAAGTCTTTACCCTTAATAGAAGATATGGGGTATGGTTTCACAGGACTCCTTGTGCCAGATTATTATCTTGAGCGCACCAAGAGCAGGGGGTCCCGCTTCCTCTCCATCCTCCCCTTTCTGCTCCATTCGCATGCTCTCCCTCTTCCTCCAGCTCTGAGGCTGCTCTGACTGCAAGGTGAGGGAAGTCAACCCGCTCCCCAAGCGCACACAAACTGGTATGTTTTACCGTACTACAAGAAGACTGCCAGAGATGACTTGAGGCAAATGGCAGGAGCAGGCGAGAGCTGTTCATTTGGCTTGAGCACTTACCCGCACTTCACTACACCTGTCCCAGAGGAGACGTCCGAACACCTCCTTCTCCCACTCCATGAAGCCCACCCTCTGACCTGCTATCCATTAACCTACTTCATTCTTGGTAGTCATTAGTGTCCAAAGAAACACAGCCTGAAACTAGTCCAGTTTGGGGAAAAAAAACATCAGAATTGTTTTCAAGCAGGGAAATGAACATAGAACTTTATACTGCTAGATAAACCCCAAAACTACTACCATCTTGTGGCTGTGTGCAGATCTGCTGGCTATAACCAAACTAGGTATAGGAGCATGGGACCAGGAAGAAGGCCACAAAGAAAAGACTAGCTACTCCTTTGCAGTAAACTCAGATTAAATCCCAATAGCATTTTTTTAGATGATCTTTCAGTGCTGTGAGGTGGCAGTATTATGCTGCTGTGAAACAAAACCAACAGCTTTCCTTTCCTGTTGATTTATCTCTGTGCAGCAACCATGAGAAGACCACTGGCTTGGTTCTTCCCTTTCATGGGTCTGCAGTATTTCTACCTCCCATTCAGTAATACAAACATAGGCAGAAAGCCACATTAGCCTCAGTTTATAAAACAGACATCTATTTTGGTACCTGGAATCACAATTGTTGATGCTATTTCTGGAGCAAAGAGATTTAAAAGTGCAGTCAAGAAAACAAATACTTTTGTACCAGTCTTGTGCTTTTCACATTTAGGGTACTTCAAAAGTCAGGCACCTACAAGTCAACCTTCATCTTGCTATCTCATCCTTTCTGTTCTTACCTTCCCTTCATATCCAGGTGCTTCCCACTCCCAGACACAGTGCCCAGTAAGTTACACAAGTACTTTTATAACTAACATCCTCTACTCCACTTACAGTCACTTCTTGGCTACTGCTACATCTGTAACTTGCATCTGATCTGAACAGCTTTCAGTCAGGTCATTTTTTTTTTTTTTTAACTTAGTAAAGAACAGACAAAAATTCACCTCAACTGCCAACCAACTACAAGCATTCAAGAACTCCACTGCAAACCTCCAGAATAATGAGGTTAGGTTATCAGTTACAACTTGTAAAAAATAATATACTTAAAGGGTATTTTAAATTTGTTATAACTGGATATTTAGGACTCATCTTCAAGCTTTTTCCCTGCAATACCTGGAACGAGAAATTATTTTGGAGGTTTGGGGGTTTTTTTTGTTTTGTTTTTTTTAAGTTAAGGTCAAGTTTGCTAGCAACTAAAACCAGAGAAACTGAGCCTGACACTCTCCACTACCAGCACCAAGTAACAGTTCTTGCTTGCAGCAATCAAGAAAGCAAACAGGGTTAGGGTTTCCTACGAAAGAACAATAATGCCACTGTATAAATCTGAGAAGCACCCACATAAATTCTAGTCCCCTTCATCTCCAAAAGGTGACATCAGAATTGGAGAAGAACTGCAGAAGAGAATGGCAACAAAGATCATCACAGGTATGAAATGGCTACCATACATAGTATAAAACAAGGCGGATTAGAGCTCCTTAGTTTGGAGGGAGATGTTTATGAGCAAGACAGCACAAATCTGCAAAATCATGAGCAAGGTAAATGACGTGAAAAAGGAGCAACCAGAGTTTTCTTGTGAATTTTTTCCCCATCCAGTGTTATTAACTACAAACATGTGGCATATGACTCAGGAACTCCCCAAACCACAGATAACTGGAGACTAGGAAAAACATTCTGAGGAGGTATCACTACACACTTTACTCCTCCAGTTCTTCCTTTAGCTGTTCCGGTAGACAGAAGGCCAGATGAGGTAGCCATTTGGATATGACCTGATATGGCTTCTCTTACAGAGAGCCAGAAGAGCTGACACTGCTGTTCCCCTTGCTCTTGCACGGTTAAATGCCCTAAACGCACGTGAAAATTCCCAACCTTCACTAATAGTTTAACCCCATTCAGCTTATTAGTGCTTTGATAGTAGAATATTCACTGTCTCCAGTGAAGTGGCAATGGCTGTTGTTTGAATTACTTTTCTGAACCCATCATAAACTAAACTAAGATCCTGCAACTACTATCCAATCCACGCAGTCAGATCCTGATGCCAGCAGTCACGCAGTGCAGCACAGGCTCAGGGGTCTGACTGATAAATACCAGACCCTGGCTTTCACAGCACCTACAACTCCTCCTCATGAAACGCAAGAGTGGAAACGTGGATATTGGCTGCATGCGAGAGGACTTGCAGACACAGACACACTTACTCCGAAATTCAATGGCCTGGCCTAAGGGGGGCTTACTGCTAGGAAGCTACATCAACTTAGACCCCAGCCTTTCTGTAACCAGCACGTAGCCTTTGCATTAGGAGGACAGACACATTTTATCCTGCCAACATCGTTTGTCCTACTAAACTTTACTATAATAGGGCATGAACAACAAAGCTCAGTAGGAATGCATGCCCTTCTAAATGCGTACGTAAACTAAGCCATGAAAGTTTCCATCAAAATTTAGAGACCTGCGTTCTTTAAGCTCTTATTTTTATGTTTAGAGTAAGAAGCCTGCTCTCTCCTACATTTCTCTTTAAAAAAGTATCTTCAAACAGCAAATATCATATAAAACAAAGTCAGCAATAAAGCCCATCAGTTAAGAATCAGCAAGTTAAAGGGCAAAAATGGTAAAAGGGCAGTTTAGATTTATTTAGCTGAAAGACTTTTACTGCTGTTATTAATCAGATTTTTCTTTAAAGATTAGACCATTTCTCTATACAGTCTCCCTGCACTTTTTAACCTGATTATATCCCATTAAAGACATTCCCATATTGAAAATAAGTTCCAAACATACGTGAAAATTGTTTGGAGCTTCTGGCCATGCAAAAGAAACAGGACATATTGGCTTTTACACATATTTTAAATTGAATTTGAAATAAAGTCTTTGGTTGGCCTTGTCCTCCTGCCCCTCCCCCTGAAAAGAAAAAAAAAAAAAGCGTGGTTGCTGTTCTCTTGTTTTTAAACTGCAGCATTGTCCTGGGCTATAACTTTACAGCTAGACTGCAGGACTAAACACAGCACAATTGCCTGAAAAATTTGGAAACTGCAGACATGAAAAGTGAACAGCAGCAAGGTTCCACATCTTAGTCTATTGTTAAAAACAGCTACAGTGATGGGACAGCAACACAGGCAGAAACAAACTGAATGTCAAACAACAACTCACACTGAAGCAGTCCTCAGCTAAAGCCCGCTATAAAATTTGCACTATCAACAGGAGCACTAAGTTTATTAAACACAAAGTTTCCATTCACCTTAAGTACTTTGCTCCTTCGGTCCCTCGTACTTCACATTGTTTCTTCCATCCTGAAGGGAAATCTATCACTCTGGAGGCCGCGGTCCTCTTTTTATTTTTTTTTCCTCCAATAAAACCCTCCAACCCTTTTTTTTTTTTTTATCCCTTCTCTCACTTGCTCCTTGTTAGTTTTCTCTTCTGCAGTTTTCCAACCGATGCAATAGCTCTTCCAAAACTTTATTTCCTCCATAATTCACAAATAGATTTTTATCGTCTTCCATTATTTTCCCTCCCCCACAGAAATATTTTTATTTCATGGTATAACCTGTATGAAAAGCCACCTACTGTCATGATATGACCCTTCATGTCATTGTCTAGTACTGGAAAAGAAATTGTTTGCAACTCCCTTTTACAGCAATTGTACCCCAACTGAATACAGTTTGATCCTTCTCCAGGCCCTTACCAAGGCTGGCTTTGGAAAGTCATCTTAGTAGCTCCCTCTGTATTCACAGTTAGAGCTCTACCGTTTCTAGTCCTGAGCAGGATATGAGCCTGAAGATTTCTGGCTAGTCTTCATATTCGTAGGAACATGGAAGTTTATGCTCCAAAATGCCTTACTAAGGCGTGTAGTCCCAAAAGTCCACAGTGCTGCTGCTGCTGTTGCGGGGAGAGGCGGAGGAGAAACTCAGCATAAACCAAGAAGCGTTCAGATGGTTATCCAACTCGAATAAACATCCATAAAGCCTCAACTTCAACTACCTGGCTTTTTCAAGAGGAAAAAGATGACAACTACACCTGCCATTCTAACAAAACCACCTCAGCATTGTGCTTGTCCAGAGTACAGCCCAACCTCTTGACTCATTAATTGGGCAATTCAGCCAGTATCAGCTTGTTTACAAAAGCTCTGCTGCAGTGGAGCCGCAGGTTGAAAAGTTTCAGGACAAATACCAGTTACATCAAACTTCTACTTGCTTGTCCTCCCCTACTGCCTCTTTTAAACACCCAGTGGGCCAGTCAGAGGTCTGGTTGCCCTAATACCCTGTCACCAATATCGGCCACTGATCAATGTTCACAGATAGCACATATGAAACTGGATTAGTAGAGGAAGGGTATTTCTCCTCCTACACTTCCCTTCTTTCAGGGATTTACATTTAGTGTTTAGGATTTCATGCATCAGGTGGATTTCCCCACCCCTCAGTTTGTCAAATTCCTTTTTAAACCAGTTCGTACTTCTAGCCTCAGCAGCACCCTCCAGTAACAAGTGCCACAATTCAGTGATGTGCTCTTCTAAACCTGCAGCAAATTTTATTCAGTGTCCTTGGTTCTTATGTTACAAGAAACAAATAACAATTGCTCCCCACCCACCCTCTCTACACCATTTATAATTCATATAGCTTTATCAGCAGCTTTTTCTCAGCAGTCTTTTTCCTCAAGCTGAAATCCTAGCATACTTCACCTGCCTCATACGAACACTGTACCACATCTTCAACCATCCCTGCTGCTCTTCCAGTGCCCTACTGGGACAGAAGTAAGCAGAAACAGACCCAAGGGCAGGTTACAAAGTTGTAACTCTTCAGTCACTTAGGAGACAACATAATGTTTTCTAGTTTGTTCTCTGTTCCTTCCCAAATAATTTCTAATCTTCCTTAATGCTTTTGACCACATGATGAACCTGGGAAGATCTGTGCTGTTAAAGAACTTATACTATTCTAATTTACATGTTAATTCAGCACTTAAACCACTACTACAGAAATGTAAGTTTTCCATGACATAAACATTAGAGATCAAGTTAAGGACATAGGATGGATAAACAGTGCTATCAAGGCAATAACCTGTTTTGATTGCTTCAACCAGCTTGTCATTCTTCTCTCCTTCAAGCAGTCTGTGGTAATATCCAGGGTTTTGTTCCATGTTGGTTTGGGCCCCACTCACAATCATCCAGATCAATGCACGGTGTTCATTGGGGATGCCTTTCCTGATATATCTCTTCACTGCAAAACAAGAAGTTTGGTGTTTTGTTTTTTAAATAAATAAAAAAATCCAGCTGTACTTTTCTTTTGGAAATGAGCAACAGAAAGTTCAGAAGTCACAGGAAAACTCTTGACTAGAGACTATTTTCTCTCCAATGCTACCATTTAGGATAAGCATTTCCTTCTCAGCTACACAGTATATTTTAAATTCACTCCTATGTTCTTGCCACTCAGACTCCCCACACAGATCTCCAGACCAAAGCCTTCCTCCCTCCTCTGTTCCCCCATTAGGATTTTGAATCGTTTCCTCTTCTTCCCGCCTTTCTGAATGGAGACATGAACAACAAAGTTTCCCCTTAATCTTTGTCCTTTTTCATTCAGATGAGCTTCCTTCCCTACATTACCAATGACATGATAACCCTTTCCGTTTGCTTGGTTATGCTCTAGCATAAATGGCTATGTTAACATAACCCGAGGATTTCAGCTTAGCACCTAACCACTGAAATCATAGCAAACGCTGAGAAATATGAAATATGTAGCTACTGTCTAAATGAGCCTCTGGAAGAACTGGAGAAGTGAGCAAGCAGCAGATGATTTTTCCTAGAATAACCGGGGAAGTCTTTTCAAATCTAAAGTAGCTCTTATCTCCTGCATCATATTCATCATCAGGGCGTGCTTTGGGGTTTTTTTTTTAAGCAGATGATTCAGTGCAAATAACTAGGAGGCAAGACTGCAGGAAGAAGCATCAGGCTAATGACAGCCAAAGCAGCTTCCTCCTGGGAATGGTATGAAAAATATTAATAAGGAGCCAATGCTGCTCATTGGTACATAATCCTAAATCAGCATTACCCCTTCTGATCCAAAAAGACAGCCAAATATTTGAGATCCTTCTGCTTTTTCCAGGGAGAAGAAACTGACAAAGGAACCAGACATTTCTTACTAAATGAATGAGACTGTATCAACTAGAGTATCAGCTTCTCCTCCCTAAATTCTATGGGACTCAAATGAGAGTGGGGATTTTTATTCTGCCCACACACACACACATTACCTGATCATTACCTGATCTGGTTTTATCCAATCACAAAGATCTGTAACTCAAGAAAAATGTTGCCTGAATGAAAGGCCTTAAAAACAGCAGAGTGAAACAAGGTTTTACAACAACTCGGCCAGCCACCTTCTAAATACATTCCACCTAATTGCAGCTGCCTATCCTTTAGGAGCCAAAGCTGTTTTCCCAGTGTCAACAGAGAGATCCGTGCATCTCTAACAGGCATTTCACCCACCTAAAATCTGGTACTTTCTCTCACAGAAACATTCCTACCCTCAACATTTGCAATAAATGTTCCTTAACAATAAACTTAACAATAAATGTTCCTTAACAATAAACTTAACAATAAATGTTCCTTAACAATAAACTTCCTACCCTGAAGACCAGGTGTTTTTGTTTAGCTTTTCGATGAGGATTTATACTATGGGTTACAGTCTCTACTGTTCTAGTTGTAAAGTAACTTCAACTACAACCTTCTTTTAGACAGACTGGAAATAATTTACTTGTTTCTATGGTTGTTTAATAATCCCCGCTTCATCTTTTTTAGAAGACTTTGAACTCTAATGCTCAAGAAATCCTATAGATGGACATAGCAAATGCAGGAATGAATATGAGGAACCAGTCCCACTTAGGTCAACAAGAAGAGACATTCGGATGAGTCTGCGATTGTCTCCAGAAGCAAACTTACTGGCTAAATTACTGTATTATCATATTCTAACATATAATTCCAGTGGTATTTTTTTCTGGAACAACTGTCAATTCTGAAAGCATAGCCAACATCCACATCCAGCAACACACATTAAATTCAAGAGAAGCAGCGATAAGCCTTTGACACTGGCACAAGGGGAAAGCAGCCCTGCAGCACACCATACACTCATTCCTCAGTGACATCGTTCTCATGGTAATAGACAGCCAGAGGCTTGTATCGCCCCAAGTGACTACCTACCCCAGCTCCCCCACTCCTTGAGGAATAGAAAAGCCCTTTACATGGTGCTTTTCTTCCTCACACCATTATCATACTTGCCAGGGTCTGCAAACTGGCATACAGAAGCAGCAAAGTAGTTTTGAAAATAAGGATAGTTGCAATTTAATATGGTTTTTTATATATACGTATTATTTATATATGTCATATTCTACACATTAAATTATATTGGTTTATACAAATAGGTATTTATTTTGTTTTCTGTTGGCCCTCTTCCACATTATCCTCAGGAACTAAAAAGCCCACAACAACAGCCCACACTGCAGAGTATCCTCCCACTGTAACACTGAAGAAGCTTTCACAGATGAAGCCGCATTGTGCATGTGTCTCCAATCACACATCTGACTCCAGTTGTAAACCAGGGGCTTGATCTCAAAAGTAACACTGCTAAATACCACCAAGCCCTGAGTATCCACGTGCAGAATCACTCCCAGGACAACCACAGTGTACACGACACAGCCTAAGCTTTAAAACATGCATAGTAAAGAAATATCTTTATGTGAAATTTTTGCCTCTGTTCATAAACAAAATATGAAACGTCAATTTTTAAGCAAAAAAAATTAGTCTTAATTCCATTACCTCTGACACCCAGTGCCAGTTTCTGCAGGTTTAGAGTCACACTTACTAATATGTTTTTCTTGTTACAAGAAAAAACAGCTACATGATAGGGTAGCAGTCTAGAAGTGCTGATAAATACCCAAAGTAACTTCAAGAGAAAAATATGCAGAAAATAACATTTTCCAATACTGTGCACTACTTATAGTAACAAGATTTAAAAATAAGTAAATCACTTTAAACCTGCCTGTCCTTGTTTAATGGTAGAGTACGAGAATTTTGGAGGTTTTTGCTTCTAGATAAAGTTGTACTTACCTCCCCCCCCCCCATTGTTTCACTCTACACCATAGACTACATTTATGTAGGAAAACCCCATTTAAAAACAAAAAATATCTCATCTAAAATATTAGCAGAGTGTGATTTTGAGAAGCATCTGCACTTTTCAGTTACTTTCTCAGTTACTAACAATTACTGTTGAATGCTGAGGAAACTAACTTGGACCCTAGAGGAAAAAGTCTACAAAAGAGCTGAAAACAGCATACAACAAGGAATTGAAAGTTTTATTTTATGAATACATCATAGAAGAAACAAAGCAGTTCTGTGCTGTAAATGTTCGAGTTACAGTCAATCATGAAACATAAGATGTTCCTTCCTTCCTCCAACCCCTGGGCTGGAACAGAAGTGCTCTTGTTATAACCACTGTTTAGTACCATTACTTTCACCTTTCACTGTATTGGCCTCAAAGACTAGAAAGCACCTTCTGCTACTGGTCAGTTTTGACTAATCCACTTACAGCCAAATTCTTTTACATGGTACGCTTTTGGTCAGAATTAAGCTACTGTGGGCAATTATGTCAGGCAGTTTGTTGCCTGCCTGTAAACAAGCCAGAGCGGAAACCTGCCTTTTGGTCCCATAAAGATAGCAGCTTGTCGTGGTTTAACCCCAGCCGGCAACTCAGCACCACACAGCTGCTCACTCACTCCACCCCTGGTGGGATGGGGGAGAGAGTCGGAAGAGTAAAAATGAGAAAACTTGTTGATTGAGACAAAGGCGGTTTAATAGGTAAAGCCAAAGCCACGCACACAAGCAAAGCAAAACCAGGAATTCACTCACTGCTTCCCATCGGCAGGCAGGTGTTCAGCCACCTCCAGGACAGCAGGGCTCCATCATGTGTAACGGTTACTTGGGAAGACAAACGCCATCACTCTGAATGCCCCCCCCCCTTCCTTCTTCTTCCCCCAGCTTTATATGCTGAGCATGACATCATATGGTGTGGAATATCCCTTTGGTCAGCTGGGGTCAGCTGTCCCGGCTGTGTCCCCTCCCAACTCCTTGTGCACCCCCAGCCTACTCGGTGGTGGGGTGGGGTGGGGAGCAGAAAAGGCCTTGACTCTGTGTAAGCCCTGCTCAGCAGTAAGGAAAACATCCCTGTGTTATCAACACTGGTTCCAGCACAAATCCAAAACATAGCCCCATACTAGCTACTGTGAAGAAAATTAACTCTACCCCAGCCAAAACCAGCACACAGCTGAACGGAGAAATAAAAAATTAAGAGGATCTCAGTAGTGGTTGAGAGAGAGAGGAGGCAAGTGACTGAACACTGACTGAAAATTCATTCACATGTGCAGCGGAGACAGTGAAGATAACAAGGGTAGAGGGTGAAAGAAAATACCAGAAAATAACAAAAAGGAAGAGACTGGAGAATGAGCAAAAGGAACCGTCAGCCAAAATTCCCATGACCTGGCCTGCCGGAAGGCTGTAATCCAGAGCAACAGGATACACTGCTTAATTACCGTTGTTAAAGTGTAGTCTAATTATTTTTCTTTACAGTAGAGCAGAATTATATACATACATACCACCCTGGATGTGAGGCAAACACAGTAGCATGTGAACATGCCACATTTCCAAACTGGAAAATTACCACAAGTCATCACTTCTTCCTGTTCACCCGGACAGGAATTATGAGCTTCTCTATGTATAAAGACAACCGGGTGCGGAGCTACTGAGATACCACACGTACAATGCCTTTCTCATCTACTCACAGCAGGATACATTTTGAAAAGGCCCCAGTAGAACTCAAAATAAGGATACGGGTTTGCAGATACAGCTATTGCGTTCGGGGGGGAAGCAGCAAATTAAATATTCTTCTCAGTTCTAGCTTATGGCCGACCTGCAGCAGAGGGGAAGTTATTCAGAACCAGCAGCCCCTAAGCAAAGCTTCAGAGCAATGAAGCGAGGTCCTAGAGGTGGGAAATTCAGTGCATCACCAGGCAGACCTTCTGCTCTCTGCCTGCCTGCAAGGAAATCACTGCAGGATCATCTTGCAGGATAAAGCACACACCTAAACAACTGCTTACATAATTCTAAGTGCATATGCCACAGACTTCAGTCTTAATACTGATATAAGAAGGGAAGTGTTTAAAAATCAGTAATTGTACAGGTTAACCTGTTGCTCTCTTCTTCTGAGGTATCAGTTGAGGATAATGAGGGAGGCTTATTGTAACAACTTTGAATTTACACTCAGATTACATTTCCTCAACATTATTTATTCCAGTCACTCTCCTTAGAATTACATATATACATGAGAATACATAGTCTACAAATCCAAGTACCTTTAGCAAAAGTTAGTAATGTCAAAGGTAATGCACCAGCCCACAAGGGCTTGCTACGGTCAAGAACCATTGCCTGTGTCCACTCAGTGGATTTATGGTATCCCATTTTTCACAAACAGTAGCCTGTTAGAGACAACTAAAACCACGTTAATGGTTACTGCCATTATGTGTCTAGTGGGGCAGCATGACCATCAATACCGAAGCCTGCTGGACAAGTTGAGAGATTCGGCCAGAGTTTTGGCTCTGAAATAAGACCAAAGGCATTCACACTGTTTGTATCACAGTAGAATTCTGTGTCTACAATGCTGGAACAGGGAACACAAGGGAAGAGAAATGTAACAAACTCACAGAAATTGCTAAAAGCTGCCACTGTCACAGTCCACACATTTTAAGAGAAGAAGGAGACGAATCAAAACCTGAGATTATTTTTCCACAACAACTAGAAGACTAAATTCTGCAGAATCTCAAAATCCTCACTAATTCAAAACACCGCACAGTTATCACTATATTCAAACTTGACACCCTAGACAAAAGCTTCTTTACATTTGGAAGAAAAAGAAGAGAGTAGAAGTAGCTAATTTCTGGTTAGCAGCATATGATCTAGCAGCTATGGCTCAAACCTACATTTTCTGTGATTCCTCAGCCTTAAAACAGACATCCGTACACCAAATACACTGTTGTACTTAAAATGTCTCACTAGTTATCATCCCATTCTTGGTGCCAAGAAAAAAAAAAAAAAAAAACACCCCGACCCCAAAACAACAAAACCACTAGAATTAGCAGTCAAAGTCTGCACCTGAAGCACAGCTCTGAACATTCAGCTATGTTACAGTCAGTGCCTGATTAACTTTTGCTTGGTTTTACTCACTTCTGCTTGGTTTTACTGACTTTTTTTTCTTTAACATGTTGATTGAGAACTCTACCCAACTCCAAAAAACTCCCAAGAGAAAGCAAGCTGAATAGCATCATTAAGAGCAAAGAGGAAAATGTAGATGCTTACACGAAAAAATAACCCAGAGAAAGAGTGGGAGGAAAACCCCCCACCCTTTAGTTTCACAGGATTCCCTGCTACCTTCTGACTCCCTCCATTTATTTCTCCCTGTCTCTCTTGCAAGATAAAACATTACTAGAGGTTTTCTTGCTTTTTGAAGTGGCCATTAACAGTTCCATCAGCATTTTATCCAATGCTGCATTAGCTCCTGCATTAATTTTACTTTCTTCACTTCGTAAGGCATTTAGCATCAGTTCTTAGTACACACCATTTTAGCTGCGAGGTGAACGTCATTTTATAAAAGGAGGATAAGGAAAGCTAGAAAATCTCTGCGATGTAAAAAAATGTCAAAGAGTCAACAACTGAGAGCACTAACATCCTGATCCCTGGGGTTCAAGACAGCGTCTTCTACATAATCTCATGTCTTTTTAAGGAGAGCACAGAGCAGCATGTGATACAACAAACAGCCGTAAAACTGCATCTTGAGGTGCCAGTGGCCACAATCTCTAGGTTACAGATACAATAAGATATTATAGCATATGCCAAAGAAGGATTACTCCTTCGCAAGCTTTAAATCAAATCAACTATCCCCCTAACAACAGCATACTTGCTTATGTATTATTACTGTTTATACTAAAACAGTAGTTTGAAGACAAAAATAGTATTTAACATTCAAAAATTCAAACTAATTTAATATGATTTATATTGGTTCCAACATAATGCACTTTTGCCTATAAATAGACATACAGCTCACCTTTTAAACTCTTCTGTATACTGTTATTCCCCTTTAGGAGCTTGGACCATTTTATTGCTCTTCTAGTGAGTACCACTAGATATCTGGAAAAGAATGCTTCATAGGATGCATAATCGAAGTCTTCTGGCCTTTCAAACCCATACGGATCAACCCTACAAAATAAAAAAGAATTCTTGTACAAATGTTTCTACATACCTACAGCTGGAAAAAAAAAAATGCAAGTATGCTTTAAATAACTCCCAGTTGCTACTTCTAAAAGCAGCTCAAAACTCCCTCTTCCCAGCAAAAACCTACTTTACAAACTGTTACACTCCATTTAGCATATCAAAGCTGTTTAAGTAAATGAATTTAAATATGCACTGTTCAGTCAGTTTTCACCACTTTTAGAAGTAAGGAGTTTTTAGAGCAAAGGATCCGTTGTGTGCAAAATTGACCCAAATTATGACCACACAGAAGTCTGGGAGGTATTTTTCTCCGTAATACAAACAGTTGAAATGTATGAAGGTATAGCACAACAGCTCAAATATGGCCTGGACTCACTTCCACACAGTTCTGCACAGAAAAATGACAACAAAAAGAACAAGTTACAAAGATTATTTTTAGAAGGGCTCATTTCTGAAGTTATCTTCATGAAAGTGTACAGTTTGGAAAAAACCACACAAATCCTTGTGTCAACCTTCTTCATATGTAGTATCAAAAATGCTTATTTTATTATCTTTAACAATTTTTCAGTGTTACATCACATCATCTCAGGCAGCACAGCACTGATGGAGCTTCAGAATTGCAAGTCTGATTCTGTTCTAGCTTGATACATCAAGTTGCCTTGCTAAACTAGATTTATGGCAACTTCCCAGGATGCTTTATACCTGGCGATTATCACTCGAGTACAGAGCACTCACAGGCTTTGTTGAAGTGAAACAGACAGAGGAGTCTGTCCACGCAGAAAAGTTTGCAAGACATACATCAAGACTTAACTTCCAAAAACACTGCCTATTTCATTCATGGAGAAGGAGTTTGCCCACGGAGGGGCTCCAGCACAGCCTTCGGTAAACTCCAGGTCACGGGATCATCACGGGTAGTAAAGCATGAATCAGAAGAGGAACATTTTAATATTCAGACCTCAAATCGGTATTACCTAATCAACACTTAGAAGGGTCACCTTTGTATTCATGTACTCAGATCTGACACAAAAACACAGGTGTAAAAAACACCAAACCCCCCTGATACAGGTTTCTCTGAAGACACAGAACGTGAGAATGCTCAAAAAATCCTAACACCTCCACGAAAACACATCTCGTGTTTATGACTGCAACTGTCCAGGCAGCAAGTACAGATTAATTTCATGCTCAACTCCATTCCTGAGGTAGAAAGGGAAAATAAAGAGTCAGGAAGTACGGTTTTAAGGAAGTTACCTTCCCTAACCTGCCTCCGGGCAGTGAAGGTTACCATTACTCCTAGGTGCCCTTACGTGAACAGCCGCATCGTTTGCCGGTCTGTGCCGGGGCTTTCCCCCAGGGAGGAGGCCTCTCCCCCCGGAGCCCCCTCGGCCATCTCCCGCCGGCCTCCGGCCGTTACCTGCGGCTGCCCCTTCATAAACCCCAGCGCTCCGGGAGGAACATTTCGCTCTCCCCGGGTTAACCGGCGCCAAATTCACCCTCCAGCCCGGCTCCTCTCTGCCCCCGCCCTTCGTGTTTCTCGGCAAGATACCAGCAAGGGGAAAAGGCTATTGTAAGGGACTACCAAAAAACCCAACTCCCTGCAAGGCGCTGGGAGTCACCGCTCCTGCTCCCGGCTCGCTCCCTCCCTCAGAGTGCTGCAGATTCACAGGAAAGTTGTAAAAGCAGTATTCTGAAACGTGACACCCCCCCCCCCCCCCCCCGGCGGGCCCAGGGGGGGG